TGTGTAGAGAGAGATTGAGAGAGAGAGATAGCTTAACCTTATTCTTGTCCTCCTATCCTTGCTTATATTCTTTAGTTATCATTTTTCCTGTCTCTTGTGACGTGCTTTTCTTCGCCGAAAGCCTGTGCCGTAGCTTACCTTGTTCAGGGTGATGGAGGCTCTGTTCCGGCGGGGGGTGCTGTCGTAATAAATGCTGTGATGGGATGCATTAATGGTGATGTGTTGTGATAATAACTCTGCAGATCTTTGTCTGCTGATGTGGCCCGTGTCCCACCTGCCATGTGCCCAAATGCCATTGGCCCTTCATGTCTAGATGGCCTCCAGCTGTCCTGGGCTTTGCCAACCGGGTTATGCCATTGGTCCCAAGCGATTGGTTTGGGGTGGTTTACTGTGGGCCGTATGCCTTGTGGGCCTATCCATGTCACTTATAATTTTTTGGTAATTAATTTTTCTGATTCCCACTTCATAGTTATTTGCCCATCGAATAATCTCTTACCAGTGTATAACCACCAATTGTCATCTATCGACTGTCTCACCAATTCTTCATTTTTTTTTTTTTTTTTTTTATAGTTTTTGTCTAATCTCTATTTTTCTTTTGTGCATATGCCTATGATATTATTTCATTCTCATCTTTTATAAAGACATGTAATTACATTTTAAATTATAATAATCATCTTACATTCAAAAATTAAGACAGAAACAAAATAAATTAATAATAACAAAACAACAAACGAAATGGCATTTGATAGGGTTGCGTAGAGAAAAATGATTCATATAGCCGACCCCATTTGATGGAACTTAAGGCTTAATTTAGTTTAGTTTGATTTAATAACAAAACAACAAAAAAATAATAATTTATCAACTCGAGCATAGCTATATTATATAATTTTGGAATTAAGATAGATTTTTACAATATTGTTCTGCTGAATGAAAATCCTGACTCTGCCACCAGAAGTTACTGCTTGAGATTGTTGTTGCCATTGTTGTTGAAGTACAAGTAGTTTTTTTTAGAAGAAAAGGCAGTAGTTGAAGGAGCTGCTGAAAAGCCAGTGTAGTTATTCTTCTTCTTCTCCAAACATATGTTGGCAATCTTACTGAATTGCTCACGTTTCTGGTTGAATGGTTGAGCGGCATATTCTTCTAAGGGCATCCACTGAAAATTCATTGAGGAAAAATCAAGAATATCAAACAATGAGCTACCTCATTAGAGTTGTTCAACAACTATTAGAGATCTCTAGTTGTTTGGCTTATATACACCTAATCTAATTTAGGGGGATCTCGGATTGGGTTGAGTCAGGTGGTATCTAATTCATCATTTGTTTAAAAGTAGACAAATTAGAAAAAGTCAATCCGCATTCGTTCACCAGTTTGGCAAATGCAGATTGAGCGGGCCGTGCAGATTGGCGGATGGATGTGATCAGTTTGGCAATTTAGACTTTACAAATTTTGGGTATTTTTTTTAATTATAATTCATATTTTTTCAATCTCCAATAACTAGTAGCCTGAAAAAATATGTATTATTTGTCTATATTAGGTGATGGCACCATGTATTCATATTTTTAAGGTATTGTTTTTCATTTTTATAAAAATATATATTTTATTATTTCTATTCTATGTTGTTACTTGTTAATAGTTTTTTTTTTTTTTTTTTGACTTCATTTACGAGTGGATCGGGTTCATGAGTATGGTTGATCCGTCATCCGAACTATATCCATGAATTTTGAAAGATTTCATCTGTATCCATCCGCCAAAAGACATACATCCGTCCAAAATCAATCGGGTTGGATCGGTTCGGCCGGGACGGGCTGGTTGGGGGATCCATGATCTCCACTGATCTAAATATACTAAAAAAGTAAAATATTTGTGAATTAATCTGAAAAAAATTAACTAAATCAAAAAACAAGAAGAGTGCTATTTTTGTCTTCAATAATTTATTTTCTTTTTTTCTAGATTTCTATACAAATATATTTTAGTTTTTAGATGCAATGATGCATCTAAAAAAATAACTGAAATGAAAAAGTTTTAAAGACAAAAAATTCAACAATAGATTTTGAGTTTGAAAACCAAATTCACATCTCTGATACGTTGAGTTGACGCACCATATCAGGATTAAGGTTTCAAAAAGCAGTATTGGACATGAATTGGTGTCACTAGCAGTGTAACGGTAACTGAAATCAGGTAGCTGTGAATTTTGTTAAATTTATTAACTGAAAAAAAAAAATTTAAAAAAAAGCCACTTTGGAGTAGCCATATTGTTTATGAACCTGGTTGTGAGTCAATTATGAACTAATTAGTATATTATGAATTGGCCGATACACATGTAATTTTTATTTTCATCGGTATACCAATATGTATTGGGCAGAAGAATATTGTATCGGCTGATATTTAAAACTATGATTGAAAAGGAAGATATATGGAAATAAGCAATTGAAAATCAACCAATCTTATCGATGGCAAGGAAATTACTTTTGCTTCTTCAATCTCTGTGTCCTGTTTCTGAATGTCAAAAGACAGAGGCCTTAGCATGCAAAGAAAGAACAAATCTGACTTTCCAAAGAATGATTTGTGGCTTTGCCTGCAATTAATCAAGTGAGAAAGTTTGAGAAAATTCAAGAATTTTTAATAAGAATATAAGAAATGAATATTTCTAGGGCTCATTTCGTACCTGAATGCAAGAATTTCCAAGAATTCTGTCTCAATCTGAAGCAAAAATCAACCAATCTTAGATTTACAATGGATTTTCAAATCTTGAAAAAGCATGTTTTATATCCTAATTATTTACGAAAAAAAAATATGCAAGTTATCATGTAGAGCATTGCCAATTTGAATTAGTGCTTGCCACATCATCTAATTTGAACGCGATAATCGTTTTGAAAGTATATCTTATTGATATTCACAAGTTGATGGTGGACTATAAACTATAAACGTGTCGAGCGCTAGCCAATCTGAACCAACGCTTGACATGTCAGCCACCGTATTGTCAATTTGAAAGTATATCTTCTTATATCCTATTTATATAGAAAAAAACGATATACAAGTCGATAGTCAACTATAAACATACAAACATGTTGAGCAGTGACCAATCTAATTCAGTGCTTGACACATCAATCAATTGGAACCCAAATGTCGCTTCAAAAGTCAACTATAAACCTATTAACATATCCAGTATTGACCAATCTGAATCAGTGCTCGACACATCAATTAGTTTGCACCAGATTATCGTGTTGAATAGCACTCTATTTTTATAAATTTAAAACTTGATGCTAATCAATCACTTACTCCTGCCTCTTCTTTCACTTCTCTCAGTGCAGCCATGCATATATCCTCACCCTGTGAAAAAATAAATAAATAAAACACTCAATTCATGGTGGAAATGATACAAACAATTTTAATTTTTTTTCAAATAATGCAATCAGTGAAATTCTCACCTGGTCGACGACTCCAGTAGGAAACTTCCACACACCAGTGCCTTTGAATTTTCCATTTTTTTCCTGGACTACCAGAACCTAACGAAACAAAAAAGGTTGCAAATTCATAAGACAAAACTACCAAACCAATGCATCTAAGTCACTTAATTTGAAAAATATGTGTAAATAAGGAAAATGAAGTCAACCAAACAGGCAAGGACGGATCCAGGATTATATCTTTGGGGGCTACTCTATAGTTTAAAAATTTGGAGCTACTCTATATAATTTTGAAGTTATCTATAAAAAATTTAGAGGTGCGAACTCCTATAATTTTAAATTATTTTAAAAATTTTAATATAATATATGATATTTTTCAAATTTTTGGAGGTGCGGCCCCCTGTAGCCCCCTAGATCCATCATTGCAAACAGGGCACACAGTTTTAACACCAGGAAATAATTTTGTTTAACAAGTACTTAAAAAATGAATTTACAAAGTTTGAGAAAGTAGGCTGCTTTGTTTGGTTCTGGTTGAAATAACTACTTTTTTTTGGCTATTTCATCCAAAAAACAGATTTTTCCCTGGTTCAATACAAAACAACAAAAAAAAAAAAAAAAACAGAGGATTTCATACATACAAAGAACAGAGCATTTCACATCTACAATAGAACAGAGGATTTCACATATACAAAGAACAGAGGATTTGTGCAAGCAATAACTTGATTGATGTTTTTGTGATATAACTATGAAAATGCATGAGAGGTGAATTGGAAGAAATACCTCCCCCATATCATTCATGACGAAAGCGCCAATACCGATGCGATGTGAAGCATTTGCAGGAAGTGTATCCTCTGTTTTGGAAATCCATTTCACTAGCATCAAATATGATGGTTCTGCATGATGATACCTAAATCCTTCCTGCCAACCAAGAAAAAAAAAAAATCATTAAAAAAAATATTTAAATGGTTCTAATTCCATATATATAACTAGTCATGGAAACTTAGTTGAAAATTATTGAAAATTTTGCATTTAGTTGTACCAGACACAGTTGTCATTTGCGGGAAATTATAGACTATTCCTGGAGTACCACGTATCCATACTTCTAACCAATCATCATTTAGTTTGTCCTCTCATATTCCTCAATCACTTAGCACAATACCTCACATATCCACCTTCTCCACCAATCATAATATTATAGAATACATATTCCAGAATTACTGAATAATTGCCCGTCATTTGCACTCTACTGCAATAGCTGCTAATTTTTTTGTTTCTAATTTATTTGATATTCTCCTAACTTTTATTTATTATTTAAAAAATTAAAAAAAAATTTATGGTGCAAAGTTCTTTTTACTTACCTGGACTGTAGCCTCAACAAGATTTACAAGCTCAATAGGCAATTTAATCCAAACACCCTTCTTTCCCTGCAAAATACACATAAAAACAGAATTTTGATATAATTTCTTTCTTAAATTTCCTTTTCTTTGAGGTCACAGCAGCATAGCAGCACAATGAACTTGTTGAGAATCATCTACTATTCTTGTTCCATATAAAATATTTGCATAACGTTAAAAAAAAATAAAAAGTGATTTCTATGAAGGAAAAACATTGACATAGCAATAAACAATATTAGTAATCTATGCAGTACTGACTTCCAAATGGTGTTGTTCTTAAAAAAAAAAAAGTGAATAAAATAAAAACTACATGTTTTTCACAAATTCCTTTGGCTGCCCAAGAGTGCTCAATCGCATGTGGAGTCAGGGTGTGAGGTACCAACTCATCGGGATGCAAGTTCTACACCAAGCACCTTGCAATGCAAGCAGAGTAGACCCCCATCACATCTCCTGGGTTGGTCCTTGGGCATAATTTACGAAACATGCAGTACCACTCGTGGAACTGGCTTCTCGGGAAGATGACAAGTACCCAATCCGTGACACAAGGATAGATCTAGGACTCTGGGGGGCCAAAGCATATGATTTCTAATCGAAAATTTTGTTGAAAATTTTAAAATACAATACCAATTTCAGGAAATAATATTATTATTATTATTAACTAAACATCATGTATAAAAATATGATCATACAGATACAATTGAGTATATTTTATTGGTTGCGGTAAATTAAAAAAAATAATTAACTGTTGCAATAGATTAAAAAATATATAAATGCTACAACACACGAAGAACAAAGAACGAGTGGCAGAAAACAAAGACAATAAAAATTCAAATCTTTAGACTATCTCTTATGCAAAAATTTGAAAAATATTTGCATTCCCTTCAAATAAAGATCTTTTGTTGGAGAGTTGTTTTAAGGCAAATTGCTACTAGAGATGTTCTTGTTGGTCCTTGGGCATAATTTACGAAACATGCAGTACCACTCGTGGAACTGGCTTCTCGGGAAGATGACAAGTACCCAATCCGTGACACAAGGATAGATCTAGGACTCTGGGGGGCCAAAGCATATGATTTCTAATCGAAAATTTTGTTGAAAATTTTAAAATACAATACCAATTTCAGGAAATAATATTATTATTATTATTAACTAAACATTATGTATAAAAATATGATCTATAGATTAAAAAATATATAAATGCTACAACACACGAAGAACAAAGAACAAGAGTGGCAGAAAACAAAGACAATAAAAATTCAAATCTTTAGACTATCTCTTATGCAAAAATTTGAAAAATATTTGCATTCCCTTCAAATAAAGATCTTTTGTTGGAGAGTTGTTTTAAGGCAAATTGCTACTGGAGCTGTTCTTAATAGGAATATTTTGATTATCAATGAAAGTGTCTTTTTGTTCGATTAATGAGATGTTCGTTTAAAAAAATTATAGTATTTTTAAATGGATTTAACAAAAGATCAGCGAAATTGATGAGCTAATCAAAGTGAAAATGACTCTTTCGATAAAATCTTTGAATTTAATTTTAAATACAATAATAGAAGATTCACAGGATAATATATATTATGGTTTAATACACTTTCAGCCCCTAAACTATCGTCAAATTGTCTACTTAGTCCTTGAACTATCGATTGAGTCAACGTCCCTAAACTATCAATTAATAATCCCTAAAATATTTAATTTAAACCTATTTAGCCCTTGAAATGATTACAAAAATAAAATATATGCTCATAAGTATTATAAATTAGTAAAAAAATCCTATCAAATTAAGATTTTATTCCAGAAAAATTTTAAGTTTTCTATTTTGTCTTTAAAATGTGTTTTATTTCACTATATGTTTAAATTATTATCAGAGTCTAGTTCCTTAGTTTTACTAATAAAATTGTACAAGTATTTGACATACTGAAGAAGTAAAATTAGATAATTTAAATAATAACACTTCGTTACAAATTATAATAGAACAAAATAATACATTAATTAAGCTATAAACAAATTTATCGAAAAACTTAAAAACAATCAATTAAAAATTATAAACGAAATCATGTATATAATACTTGATAAAGGCAAACAAATAGCCATTATACAAGATAAGTAAGAAAATACTATAAATAATTTCTTTTACCCTTATAAAGAAAATTCACTAGAAGAACTTATGCCAATTTTTTAAACGGTATAAAAATTTAAGGTTTTTTTGAAATAAAATTTTAACTAGATAGCGTATTTTACTAATTTGTAATATTCATAGGTTTATATTTTATTTTTGTAATCCTTTTAGGAACTAAATAGATTTAAATTAAATATTTTAAAGACATAATAGATTCAATTGATAGTTTAAGGACTAAAGATACTTTAATTTATATACATTAGGGACTAAATAGATTGAATCAATGGTTTAAGAATTAAGTAGTCCATTTAGCGATAATTTAGAGGTAAAAAATGTAATAAACCTTATTATATAATATACGATAACCCACATATTAAACAAAAAGGGTTTATCTCAAGATAAAAATAAAGGGTAAATTACACTTACACCCTTGAGATTTGAGTTTGATACATATTATCCCTTGACGTTTGAAAAATTACACTAACTCTTCTGTCATTGTAATTATTTAGACGGAATGAAAACATTGAACTCATGTACTCCCTCTTTTCATGCTTTACTTTACTTCTTCTGTTTTTTTTTCCCATTTTCCTTTGCTTTACTTTTTTTTCAATGTAATTTTCTCTATTTTCTACTAAGAGTTGTTGCCTTTTATATAAGTAGGGGGTTGTGAAATGAGACTATTAACCATAAGGGTGAAAACGTAATTTCCAGAACGTCAAAGGGTGAAATGTAATTGGACCAAACTTCAGGGTCAGTGTAATTTATCCAAAAATAAATAAGAAAGGTGAGGCGAATATTTGATAAGGCTGAATGAGAAAATTATTTTTAAATTTTTTTTCAATATTGCCTCCGTTTGGGAAGTGGGTTGACTTTTTTGGTTTTTTGGCTTTTTTGGCTATTTTAACCTGGGCTAAAAAGTTTGGTTTAGGAAGGACTTTTTGGCTTTTTGACTTTTTTTGTGAGAGAAGAATGTAATGATTATGGGTTGGATATGATGTTTTGTTTTTTGTGACTAAAATAGCATATTTTGTCTTTTGTGACTAAAATAACCAAAAAAACCCCGTTTAGCTCTTGCCAAACGGAGCCATTAATTTGTAAGTTTTATAATTTTGGATCTCTTACCAATTACGATTTTTTTTAAAAAAATTTGGGGCTACAGTCTCCCCCAAGATCTATCCTTGTATGAAAGTGATATACAGATGAGACATCAGAGAAGCAAATCTAGGAGAAAGACTTAGCCCACGAGGTCACTCAAGACCTAAGTCTCATACCATGATAGATTTATTGGAGACATCCACCCTAAGCTTCAGTGGTTTATGGAGCGGATTTGATACAAGTCTCTAACAATATCACTCGAAGGAGAGAGAGAGAGAGAGAGCATACTTTCAGCCTCCATTGGGATATTGAAGCTCTAAGCAAATAAGCAAAGGACTCAGGATCCATAGGATCTTTCATGTCCACCACGACTCCTCCATAGGCATCTTCAGAGGCATCAAGTAGTTTAATCTGCTCAACTCTTGTAGTTTCATCAGATACCACTAATTGCTTATTGTTCTTCCCAACCCGTAATGAACTACCATTATTACTACCACTTGTAACTGATGACATGAATCTGATTGGGAATGGAATCACTGTTTCAACCTTAAGATCTGTAAAAACAAGAAGATCATAAAATGTTATCACACCACAAAGTAATGAAATTGGAGATTTTTTGTATCTCTGTATAATTTACTTTCGATTATAAAATATGTATAATCAGTAATGCGCAATTAATGCAGTGTTATTTATACTTGATGGGATCCACACTATTAGGTGAAGAATATCAAAAATGTTAGAGGTTCCAAAAATTCTATCAAAAGTTTTATCAAATGTCTTACATGGGTGTGGGACCCACATTGTATAGGTCCTACACCCATGTGAGACATTTGGTAAAATTTTTAGTAGAATATTTGGGATCTCTAACATTACTCGAAGAATAATGTTCCATAAAGAAGAAAAATGTTAATTAATAATTTCATTATTTCTAGACACAACTGAGAAATCTGATTGAGTAATACTAGAGATCTCAAATATTCTATCAAAAGTTTTACCAAATGTCTCACAGTCGAATGTCTCACACTACTGTGAGACTCACACAATATGGGTCCCATATGGGTTCCCACCCATGTGAGACATTTAATAAAATTTTTAGTAGAATTTTTGGGGCCTCTAACATTTTTGAATCTGATTATGTATAGTATTGCTTGTATTTGAATGAAACCAAATCTTTTCGTTCTTTCCAAAACATTCATTGGATCTTACAAGAATTTTAAAATATGCGAATCTCAATATATTATTCAATGACTATAAGGATTTTGGAAAAAGAAAACGGATAATCTTGTACCCAAAATGAATGCATGCTTAGTTTGTTTTAGAAAAAAACCTTTTTTTTAAAAAATGTTTTTCGTTTTTTCTGGCACAACTAAATATAACAATGTTTTATATAAAAAAATATTTTCTACAGCAAATGGTTTTTTTTTTTTTTTTTTTAGATCAAGCAAACGGTTTGTTGATATTCTATGGATTTTTGTTTTTGACAAAAAAAAATTAATAAATTGAATTTGTAATGTTGGTGTTGTTCATGTGAAATATACATACAAACACATTATGCAAATTATATTTATTTTATATTTGATTTTGACAAGTAAGCCAACCTACCCTATAACTTTTTTATTATTTTTAATGAATTTTTTTTTCAATTTTTTTACTTTTTATTTTTACTATACTGGTGATTCACAAACGAAGATGAAATTCATCAATAATGAGTCAATGACTCAAATACAAAAGATTTTGCCTCAGTAAAATAACAAATCAACCTACTTTCTCAAGGACAAAGAAAGGAATAATAATAAACTAATTAAACAAAAAGGGAAATTCTACAGATTTATCAAGGTTAAAAAGACAAGAAAGGAACAAATTAAAGTAATGATATATTGTTTTTATTTTATTTTTTTAAAAGCTAGATAGAAATCTTGGTTTTTGACATTGAGCAATGGAAAAGCAAAAGTTAAAAATATAGAATGGTTCACAAAAAATACAATGGATAGCTAAGATTAAAACCTACTTGTAATGAATTAATCTCAACATGTTAATGAACTTTCTGTAATTTATTTTGTGTTTTCTATTCTGTGTTCTTAGCACAATATATATTAGTTTCTCACTTCTTTTTTTTCTCTTCTTTTTTGTGGTTATCTTTTAGTATTTAAATAAGGAATGTGAAAAGTTAGAAGAAAAAAAAAATTGAATTTCATAATTCTTATTATTTCAAACCAAACAACTATTCAAACTTGCTTATTATCTAAAAAATGATACCACTAGAACACTATCGAAGAATATGATTTTTCATAAAAATAATGCATATTATATATAAAGTCGGCAACAACAACATATATTGTATATAAAACTAGTTGGACAATCAAAAGTGACATGGATTGCATTATTAATATATATAATAAAGAAAATAAAGCAAAGAAAATAAGATCTTGGGACAAACCAGTCATAAAAAAGCATGAAAGTGTGAATAAGGTTCTAATATCTTAAAATTTTAAAACCTCATAACTTGAAAGCTTCTTTGGCAAGGATGAGAAATTATTGCTAATTTTTCCAAAAAAAAACAAGAAGAAAAAAAAAGTTGGCATAGATGGAGGTTGATATAAATGTCCAAAAATAATTAGATATTTCAAGAATATTATGTGATATTATGTAGGATAAACTATCAATAGGTCTTAACAGTTAAATTTAATTCTCATTAAATCTTATTGAAAATTAGTCCTAGTAAATTGTTGCTAAAAATAATTTTTTGTAACGATATTTTGCATATGTCGCTAAAAATTGACAATTAATGACTTTTTTTGTCACAATTTTTATAAATTGTCACTAAAACTTATAACTAGTGACATTTTTCCGTGACTAATTTTTTAAATTGTTGTTGAAAGGTGAAAATTGGTGATTTTTTGTGACGACTTTTTTGAACAGTTGCTAAAACTAATAATCAGTGACATTTTTTGTGACAATTTTTAAATTGTCGCTAAAAGTAAACAATTACTAACGATCTTTAATAGTGTTTAATGAAAAATGCCAGTAATTATTACAAGACCTATTGGACAATAAATTTACATATTAGGATTTACATGTAAGGCCCCTTATTATTTACATAGTATTCCAAACTAATGACAAATCGCAAATCACACTGGTCATTTTTTATATATAATTATCTAACAAATGTGAGTCAATCTGTCTTACCTATAAAATTTTTCATTCCATGATTAATTTAGAATACAATGTAAGTAATGTTATATGATATTTTGAGACTACTGAATAATTATCCCAAATACCAATTCCAACCCCATTCTAAAATAACAGAGGGTCATACATATACTAAAAAATCAATAAGATAAAATGTCACATCCAAACTATAATTATTTCATTTTTTCTTTTACAAAAATACAAAAAAAAAACTAAAAAAGCCAACCCAAACGAATTTTTTAGTCCTAAGCTAAAAAAGTCCCAACTCCAAAAAGCTAACTAAAAAAATTTAGGCAAATTATATTAAATCCTCTCAAACTATCGACCATTTACACTTTACCCTCTAATATTTTAAACTCAACAATTACCCCCTTCAAACTATTTGAATTTGAACATTAAGTCCTTCTATTAGTCATATGTTAGATATTTTGATGAAAAATTATCAAGTACTGTGTACATGATGATTATATTAAATTTTATGATTAAATTATCCTATTTTATCTTTTGTAAAAATTTAATATAATCATCATGTGCACAACACTTGACAAACTTTCATCCCAATATTTAACAGACGACTAACGGAAGGATTTAATATTTAAATTTAAATAATTTGAAAGAATAATTATTGAATTTAAAACATTAACAGAATAAAATGTAAATGATCCATAATTTGAGAGGGTTTAATATGATTTTCCCAAAATATTTTTGCCAAATCACAACTAAATGGATGTTGGCTAGGTTTCTGTTCATATTTGCATTAAATGCATTATCTCTTTTTAAGACATGTGAAATATTGTGACAATTTCAAAATTGATCACAAAATGATTTACAAAAAATATAATAAAATGTTAAAGAGTTAAACCCTGTTATGAAAGAGTAAATATTTAGGGGTTGTTTGGGATGACCTAAATAAGTGTACTTTTTATCTTTTTATGAAAAGATGTGCAGAAAAGTAGAGAGGTGATGTGATAGAAAAAAGATAAAAAGATGAATTATTTTTGGGTTGCCAAACTTGACCTTATTCTAAATCTCAATCTATCATCCGGTTGGTTTTCAGCTTTCAAAATTAGTTTTTTGAGTTTTCAATTCATATTTTTGTATTTTAAATATTTTTAAAAAAAATTTAATAATAATTTTTTTAATTTTTAGATTTACTCAATTTTAATATACTTGAGAAGTAAAAAATTTGTACAAAAATCATTTAAAAAATCATTGAATACAACAAAATACGAAAATATATTGAATTTTTATATTTTTTATATTTTTTGAATTTGGTAAACTTTTTTTAAAAAAAATCACAAATATTATTCTTTTGAGCGTATTTAGATTAAGTGTATTTAAAAAATAAAAAAAATTGAGTAAAATATTAAAAAAAATTTGCTAAAAATAAAAAATACGATAAAAACTCAATTTTTTTAAAAGTTGACTCAATTTTCTAGAACCAAACATTTTGCGTTTTAATTCCTTGTTCTTAATATTGGTTGAAATATTAATAATAAATAAAATAGATTAATGCTACCAAATATCCCTAGCCACTAGTTAAGGTGGATATAATGTGGTATTAAATTGTATTTTTGATAAGTTTTTAATTTTAATTACTCGGTTCGTTAAATTTTTATTGCATTTAAGTTCGACTTCGAACTCATTAAAATCTTGATAAATAAATCCAAACATACTAAAACATGGTACGTTTACTCGGCTCATTAATTGAGCTCCTTTAATATTTATTTAAATAATGGAGTAAATATACTATTTATATATTGAATAATGTAAAAATATGTATAAACAATAGGATAAATATATTATTTATAAATTTCAATAATGTAAATGTAAATAATAACTAAATTTATTTGTATGTAAATAATAGCTAATTATAGATAATACATTTAGATAATAGTGGTGATAGATATTATGTTTATGTATATTGCATATATAATTGTATAATCAAAATTTCAATTGTAACTTTAATTGCATACACAAATATGAAGTTATAATTTTTTTGGCTCGTTAAGACTCATAAACAGACTTGAGCTCGAGTCAAGTTTAAATCAATTCGACTCAAGCTCGGTTCATTAAAAAAAATTTGAGGTTGAGCTCGAGTTCGAACTTGTTAAAATCTTAATAAACAAATCCAAACATATTAAAACTCGACTCGACTCATTTGAAGTCCTACTATCTCTATACTCTTTTTGTGAGCCTTAACTTGGACCCACATCGATAATGTAAATACTCTTTTTGTGAGCCTTAACTTGGACCCACATCGATAATGTAAACCGCCTAATCTCATAGGCCTCGCAATGATGGTCATTCATGTCAGTTCCATCTGACATCTATAAACACATGAATAAATCACATTTTATTTTAT